CCAGCAAGCCACTGGCAGCCAGCCCTCTATCACTCCCCAGGAGCAGTCTGCCAGCTTCCAGGAGCCTGCCAGGGCCCGGAGAAGGCGGGCGCCTTCCCGGTCCAGGGTGGAGATCATGGACCTTATTCAGGTTTGGGGGGATGCCCCCAATGTCCATAATCTCTGCACTGGATGGAGGAACGCGGCAGTCTATGGCAGGATAGCTGCCAGCCTGGCCACCAAAGGCCACCTGGAAACCTAGGTGCAGGTTTAATCTATGGTTCTGTGAGAGCCAGGCCTGTGGCTTGTGCAGTGTCCCAAGACAAGCTGGAGCACTGAGCCGGGCGGGTGGCAATGCGGACATGAAGAGCGCGTTGGGGGATTAAACCATCATGAGGTAGTTTAGCATTGAAATGACTCCAAACCCCATTCTGTGGGAAGAAACAGAAAAGCGCCTGGGTTGCTCCCCCCCATCCCGCCACCCCCGCTCTCGTCCTCGTCCTCTGTCTCTGACCGAGACTCGTGAATGACCCACATCATTTCAAGATGGAGAATTTCACATTGGAAACATCTTCCCGCTGTTAAAGATCTGGCTGTGCTTTTGGGGTATGTCTAGATTACATGCCTCTGCCAACAGAGGCATGTAAAGAAGGCTACCTGACATAGTCAATGAAGCGGGGATTTAAATATCTCCAGCTTCATTAAAATAAAAATGGCCGCTGTGCTGTGCTGGCTCGATCGACAGGGAACGCCTTTGTTGACCGCTCCTGTAAACCTCATTTCATGAGGCACAAGGGACCGGTTGACAAAGGCCTTCCCTGTCGACTGATCCGCGTCTTGACTCGCGCGCTGTGCTGATGATCAGCTGAGCCGGCACAGTGCGGTGGCCATTTTTATTTTAATGAAGCTCGGTATATTTAAATTCTGGTTTCATTGACTATTTTGGGTAGCCTATTTTACATGCCTCTGTCTGCAGAGGCATGTAATCTAGATGTACCCTTAGTGCTCCTCAGGGTGGAAGGTCTCCCACAGGGCCTCCTGGATACTGACAGCCCCCGATGGACCTCCTGGATAGCAGCCTGCAGAAAGTGCAACCAGGCTCGCAGCAACACGTCCAATAGAAGCACCAGAGTGCCCAGGGGAGGCTCTGGCTCCATGTTGCAAAGTGCTGTGGTGTCCCGAGTGAAGGCAACCAGAGCACGCAGAGACAAAATGCTTTGCTGTCCCTCATTGAGGTAGACAAGCAAGCAGGGAAACCTGAGAACTGGCTTTCCGGGGGGAGGGGGGGTCCCTTTAAGCACAGACCTCAGATAGCCTCAGGCAGCAGCCCCACACAGTAAGTCCTGACCTGGTGCCCTGCTGGAACTGGTTCCGGCCAGCTTTAAATGAGATTCAGAGTCCACTCAGTGTGGACACACTATTTCGAAATAGAAAAATGCTATTTCAAAATGCAGTTTGTGTTTAGATGCATTAATTCGAAATAAGCTATTTCGAAATAACTATTTCAAAATAAGGTATTTCGAAATAACACTGTAGTGTAGACATACCCTGAGTGAATAAAAAGGATTTCCACATTAGCTACATCCTATAGTTGGACATGGATTAGGATATTATATTTAGCCTAATCAACTAATCAACTAGTCGATGGATTTTCCCTCAACTAGTTGATTAGGCAATAAGCCGGGAGCCGCAGTAGGGTTTGTTCCTGGCCCCAGGAGCTAACCGCACTGCGGCTCTGCCTTTTAAATGTATTAAAGAGTCGGCAGCTCTCTTTGATATCAAAGTAGTCAAAATGTAGCTGCGTGTTTTGAAGAGATTTAACACTTGAACTAAAAGATAACTGGTAACTCAATGCAAAGTTCTAGTCTGTGACCTGGCAGAAACACAGAGACAGAACACACATGCTTTTTCAATAATTTACAAAACTATTTTAATAGACTTCAAGCTCAAAAGTGACCTCTGTAAGCATCCAGCCTGATAGCCTGTCCTAAAAACTTCCAGAGCATAGCTTTTAGTAAAAACCTAATCTTGGTCAGTGATGGATGAAAGTGTGAGTCTGTCATGGAGGCCACACAAGTCACAGATTCCAGGACCTCTGACTTCCACAGCAGCTGCTTTAGCTGGCCTGGGGGCTGCGTGAGCCACTTGGGAGGTCCCTGGGCCAGCTGCACAGACTGCTTCTGGGGCAGCTGCGAGCCACCGTGCACTCTACCTAGACAACTCATAGCATCTCTGGGCTGCCCACTGCCCCAGCACATCCAAGATTTAGTCAGAGGTATATAGTACAATTCATGCACAGGTCACAGGATGTGAATTGTTGTTTACTGCTTGTAACCTGAGCATGACTTTTACTAAAAAAAACCACAACTAAAAGTGATGGAGAATCCAATTTGACCCTTAGTAAATTGTCCTAATGGTTAATCACCCTCACTGTTAAAAATGATGCCCTACTTCCATTCTGAATTTGTCTAGTACAGACAGCAGCAGAGAGGCAGGAACTGGGATTACTGGCTCCTATTTCTGGCTCTGGAGAGGGGTGGCATTTAGTAATTAAAGACAGCACAGCCAGGCTCAAGCATGATCAAGCTGGCTTTCGCATTAGGTGATCCTCTATGGCCTGTGCTGGGCAACAGAACCTGGCCAGGCTAGTTTCTACATTTCTGCCAACATCCTGTTCTTGCACAGTGGCTTCGTGGGGGTGTCCCACTGAGTGCATGCAGCCTGAGTGGTGGTTTAGCTTATGAGGATGTGCTAAAGTGCAGAAAAAGGGTCACTGCCATCTCTGCCAGAAATAACCTTGCACAAACTGCCAGCCCATTTGTGAGACTGAGAAATGACTTCTGAGAGTCTCTTGGAGTAGAAGGTATGAGGCCTTGTTTAGTAATAAGCAAGGGCTGTGAAGTAATGCTTATTAACACTAGCCAGCAGAAGGCCTTCTCCTGGCTTCCAGTCCAGCACAGTCTTCTTAGGACCAAGTGAGAGGGAGTACTGCTGTGTCTGGAGCTATAGATCTGCACTTACTGTGAAGGCATCTGAGTGAGACTGTGGCAAATGCTCAGTGCCATTGGCATGTCAGAGTTGTGTGGGAGTGTGCTCAGTGCAGATGGAATGTGTGATGATCCAAGCAGACAGCCTCTTATAAAGCTCTACTGAGTATGTACAATTAATGTTTTTCAGAGGATTATAACTCAGCCATAGTTGTTTGGATTTACCTTGTGAGAGCAAAAGGAACTTATCTAATCCTGGCACTGTCTCCCTTTCAAGGACACATCCATGTTCCAAAGCAATGGACAGATTAGAGCTCTTCAAAGAAACATTTGAGAATTATATAACATAGGAAAAATTAGGCAGATTGCCAAACTTCATTCTTCGAAATGACAAAACTGGTTTTACTGACATTTTTAAAATAAATAAAAAGGAAATAAGGATAATCGGGTTGAATGAAATTAGCAAAGTTAGAACATCTGAAAATAGGGACTGAAAATGGAAAGTGTTAGACTATAGTGTTAACTATAGGTATTAAGAGTTTTAAACATCTCCTTTAGTTTTGTAACTGTGCAGCTTCTCACAACTGCTAACATTCTTTCATGCCTTTCAAATGAACAGGACTAGTTGCATGAGTTGGCACTCATAAGCCTTTCCACCCCAAGAAAACAGCACTTATGGGTATGTCAAGGTGCAATTAGAGTATAGAGGTACTAATGCAAGAAGGATATATAGTATTATATCAAGATTCTCCCTTTGTCATATTGTAACAGCTGATCTTTGAAAGTTCACTTTGCGTAAAGTGAGAACTGAAGCTATTATAAGGATCATTTTACAAATGTTTCAGATGGTTCCTGTAGTAAATTCCTTGAGAGATGTGCAGGAGGTCCTTTGCTTTCATCATCTTGTAAACTGGTAGAGCTGGCCAAAATTTTTCCATCTAAACTTTTAATAAAAAATGCAATTTCCATTAGAACCACAATTTTAAATAGGAAAATGTTGATTTTTGCCAAAAGTAGTTGTTTTTAAACATTAGGAAAACCAAAACAAAATTTCATTTTTGATTTGGGCCAATCCATGATCTAAGCATTCTGGCATTTTGAACAGAATCAGAATGTTTAATTTAGGGGTAGTTCAACATCAGTGTATCTTACTGTGCCTCATGGAAGTTGTGATTTGGGTGCCTTATGTGCCCATTCTCCTCTATTAGCTGGGCTCTGGGTCAACTAAATGTTCCCTGAAATCCTCTGTTTGAACAGCTGTGGTGCATCTTGAGAGTCTCATGACCATGATGGGGAGATAGAGTCCAGCTTATGGAGGCAAGTCGGGGCCTAAAGCACCTGATATACTACTCCATGAGGAATCAAGGCAGCTCAGACTGTCAACGTAGCCTGAAATGAAACATGTTCATTCTTTTGAATACATTTTTTTCAGAACCCACCATTCTGCCTTATTTACTCCAACAAATGTACAGTGTTCAGTGATTATCTGAATAACTGGTACAAGGAGCTAAAACATTCCATGTGGGAGTTGGGGGTCAAATATTATTCCAATGCCAAGCTCTTAAATAGCAGTACAATGAAGGCTTTGTGATTCAGCATTCATGGGGAATGGCAGCTGCCAGTTAATTGAATGTGCTGGACACTCAAGCAAAGGGTTAGGCAGCTTGAGGCATGCTGAGCTCGAAAGGAGGTGCCTACTAATGACATCATCCAGCAGTACCAGAGGCAGGCTGGGGGAGGGGGAGAAGGAAAGTCCTGCTGATGATGTCAGCTGGCAGTGCAGCAATGTCGGTTAACAAAGTTTTCCGGTTAACAAAGTTTTCCAGTTAACAAAGTGCCAGATAACAAAGCTTTCACTAATACGTTTATAAAAATAGTGACATCATGGTAGAACCACACCTTATGTGAATTCCTCAACTGTACAGACCAACTGGGAATTTAGTGTTGTTCATATTGCACAGGTACCCAAGGAAAGCTTAAAAAAAGATCAGTTCTGAAGGTTAGTGTCTGTGATGTATTTGTGTAATTCAGTACCTTTCCGATGAAACTGGAGGGATCCTAGCAGGCATATGGACTTGAGCATCTCTGTTGTGTACATTTCTAAGCAACACTGCAACTGAATGTATAGTCTACAGATTTCAGGATGAATCTCTCCATCTTCTGGGCTGCAACAAAAAAGAAGAAAACTGTACTTAAAATAGACTTGTTTAATACATTCTTCAGCTGTCTGGAAAATCTAGGGGAAAATGGTTGTTTCTAGAAAAAATTATTTAAAATAATTACATGATTTCCACATTATTTTTTTCAATTTGTTTTTCTCTGTGTTTAAAATGTTAGTTATCTGATTAGGCACCATTGTAACGTGGAGCGGTCTGGAGCTTATAGGTCTTTTGTAAAAGGTGCTTTTGAGCAGCATCTTCATCATAATAATTGTAGAAACAATGACTAGGACTACAAAAGTCCCCTCACTAATTTTCAAACTGAGTGCATCCTCTAATTTACTCTTTACAACAGAAATAAAATAATTGTGCCACATACTGAGATCTATTTTCAAACCTGGGTGCCATATTGGACATCCAAATCCCACATTTATAAGGTCACAACAGTACGTAAGCAGAAAAACTTTTTTTTTTAACGAGCTCAAATGTTCATGTGATGACTCTCCCAAAGACAAGATTTTCTCAGCCAAGTTTGAGAGATGGGGTCACAATCACCTTTGCCACCAGTGTTTTTAAGTAAACAGTGGTTGTTCAAGTCAAGGATTTAGGATTTTAGCAAAAGAAAGACAAATAAAATAGAAAATTGGATTGTAAAACAGATAAACACTTACTTTACTGAATAAATGGTGAGACTAAAGGCACTTCTGAAAATCAGTAATACGGGGCTGGCTCCATTTCATAGCATGTCTCTAGATTTCTAGAGCAGAGATATTATAAATCAAGTTTTAACAACAGAAAAATGTGCCAGCATTGTTTAAAGATGTGTAATTTCCTGTAGCTAAATGGATAATTCTACAGAGCCTCTTATGCTGAAATAAAATTAAATGTGTGGGGTTTCTCAAGGGAACTGAAGCAACTAACTTGATAAATGATTTGCAACAGTTCTACTCTGCTACTTCTGCTGCTAAGCTCAAATCATGTCTTAACATCAATCAAGATTGAAGTGTTTTGAGACCTACAGCGAACAATGCTCATTTAACCCAGTCAAATGGGTACTCTATGGCAAGAACCTAAGCAGTCATTGATGCTTATCTAATTGTGAGCTGAATGTTTTTACTGTGAACAGAGAAGCTCACAATTTCTAAGCAAAATCCCAGCAGTTTGTCCTGATTTGATACCAACAAGTACAGTTCAAATTAACAATGATTTCTAGATTAGAAGGCCAAAAGGAACCATTTTGATCATCTGACCTTCTGTATAAGCCATAAGACTTCGAATTAATTACTGTTTGACCTAGAGCGTGGCTTTTAGAATGACATCTATTCTTGATTTAATAATTGCCAATGACAGAAAATCTATTACCCCCTAATCAAGTTGTTACAATGGTTAATTATTCTCATTGTTAAACTGCTACTTCCAGCCTGAATCTGCCTAGCTTCAACTTCCAGACACCGGATCCTTTGTACACTACAATGAAGAGCCCACTATCCAAGTTGTGTTCTTCAAAGAGGTACTTGTAGATTGTAACCAAGTCACTCATTCACCTTCTCTTTGTTAACCTAAATAGATTCGCTCAGAGTTCAGTCACCAAGGTAAGTTTCCCAAGCCTTTAATCATTCTTATAGCTCTTCTCTGAACTCTCTCCAATTTATTAACATATTTCCTGGGGAAAAGGATGAGGGGAGAAATAACCTTTCTCAGAGTTTTTGTGGGATTTGAACCTTGAAATCATTTAGCATTACAAATAATAGCATTCTCCCAGGCCAGTGTACATGCATGTTATACTTTTTAAGTGAACTCTCTATTTGGAATGTGAGATTTCCTGTCAGTTCTAACAATTTAAAGGCCAAATTCTATCTTCAATCCATGTGCATTTTCCCCCATTGACTTCAATGATATCAAAAGGACTCATGCACACATGCACTCTGAGCCTAAGAAAACAAAGAGGGTCAGATTGTGATTGGTCCTCCTACATGTATGCATTGGAGGAGTGTCTCAAAGTGTCTCAAGGGAATACCCTGTGCAAGGCCCACAAAACCCGAGTTCTTGTACTTGGCACAGGGAATGCTCTCTCCATGGTCCCCAAGGCTTCATTTCACATCAAATGGCATCAGAAATGAAGTAGGCAAGGGGCCCATCTGAGTATGAGCTCAAGGAGCAGGTGCATGAGGGAGAGAAAGCTTCAGCATCCTGAAGGATGGGGCACTTCCAAAGCACATCAGAACATTCAAAGGACTCTAATAAAGTTTGTACAGAACTCTGAAATGTAAAGCATCATGTTACTGTTGAGTATTATAATCAATACATTTCAAACAGGGTGGGCTACACCCTTTGCTATGAGCAAGACCCATGCATTGCAGTTAAGAAGCAGGGATAGAGGAAAAGAAGGCTCAATGCCATTGTTGTGGTCCCCCCTTCCAGTTCTGGGAAAATATGTGGGAATCTTTCTACATCTTTCTACTCCCTTTTATAACTTAGAACATCTCTGAGGTTGCTCTAAGTTATATGTAGTTTCCCATACCACCAAAGGGCTGTTTTGGCAGCAAGGGATCACCAGGCTGTAATGCAGAGACAGCCCAGGAAAGCCTCCTGCACTAGAAGCTGAGAGAGAGGGTGGTGAAGATCATTATGCTGGCAGTATTCCTGGGAATAACCCTCACACTGTTGGTCAGATTGCTTGACGTCCTCTTCCCACGTGCTGTGATCTGGTGCTCACTCACGAATGGGCTCACAATGCTGGCCACACAGGAGAAGTCCTTCTTCTGTTCTCAGGCCTTTTTGAGCTTACTGAGAGAGCAGTAGAGGAATAAATTCGGGCCAGAGCATTCAGAGTGGGAAATTGCAGGAGGCCTCCTGGAGGCCAATAGAGATGACTTTCCACAACACTGCATCTACACTACCATAAATTTGACCATGCAAGGTCGGGAATTGCATTATTACTTATGAAAAGCAGGAGTACTTCAATCGACTTCTGTAGCCCTTAAGGTTGATGCAATAATTTTCGTAGTGTGGATGCATCACTTAAAAAATAGAACATATGGGGCTAAAGTCAATGTAAAGTCCTAGTGTACACTAGGCCTAAATGAGACCAGCATTGGCTCTAACGTTGTAGCTGCTCTGAATGTCAAACTCTCAGTGACTTAGTTCTGTGCAAGGTGCTGTTATAGGAGTGGACTTAAAGCTACAATGGGGACTAAATACAGTCTAAGAGTAGCGTTTGAGTCTTACAAGCTTTACTGAAGAAAACAGTCTAGGTAGGTTGAATGGAAAGGACCTTCTTGGTCATCTAATCTAATTTACATAATTCTGAAATGTGGCACAGCAGTGTTTCTGAAATTGCAATATTTTTTATGCTTGTACGTTGGCTCATTGTCACAGTTATTTTTCTCCTTTGATAAATATGTTAGGCATCAGCCGGTATTTGTTTAGATTTTCCAGAGGCTTTTACTACGCTAATTTGTCCCATCTTTTGGTTTGCTCACATTCTCTGCCATGCCATCTATCTTCTCATGTGTAAAATTGCATGGCATGTTGACAATGCAACACTAGGAGGGACTGTGCCTGGCCTTTGCATAAACGTGCAAAGATATGATGGGGAACAATTTTTATAGTGAGGATGCTTCTGATAGGAAACATATATTTAGTGTTTGATATTACTACTTCAAGATAGCACCACTGTATAGGAATGAGGCACTAGAAGATTTTCCTCACTTCACCTTCCACAATTGCAATCCCTGTATTTTCCTGATTGGACACGTATTGCTTCCTGTTAAGATCCTATGAGTCTCCCAGTGATTGGGTTAGTAGATCCCACAAAGATGGGGCAGGCGAGAAGGTGTGGGCATAGCCCTGTCTCTCCAGCCCAGTCAATCATGTATGGTGATTTTTAAAGGAAGCCTTTAAAAAGGAAGAAACTACATTCAGCTGGCGAGAGAGATCACTCTCAGTAAAAAATGGCTGGAGTGACTCCTGAAGCCACAAGGCGAAATCCAGGAGATCTTGAGAAGTACAAGGAACTTCCAGGGAAAGCCTGATAGATTTAACCTGATTTAGTTATCCAACTAGAAGGAATCCTAGAAAATCACTATGGAAACAGCCCCAAAGTAAGTCTTGACCGCAGGCTATGCCTTTCGCCCTTCGAGTTGGCTGTATTGGAACATTAATTTTCTTTTTTATCTCCTATTGGAAGAGACGTAAAAAGGCCTGCAAAAGGTAAGACCCCCCCTTGCAAAGACTGAAAAATTGGGGCTTGAATGTAAGAAAGCCAGTGTAGATAACTGGCTGGGAGAAACCCCAAGGGGACTCTTTTACACACTTCAAAGAGACCAGTCCATGGCCCTAAGTACCTGGAAGAGACCCTGTTGCATCTTCCATGCTGCATCATCCATGTGTTGCAGATTGCAAGCTTCTTCACTTGTCTATGTGGAAGAAAAGTGTCACAGTGCCCCAAAGCCCATTGAAAACTCTATATCAGCTTCAATGGATTTTAGGTGAAGCCCCCAATGTCAGCATATGCCTTAATGGCACAATTTATCCCCATTTGTCGTTGCAGAGTCACAAATTGACTTTGGAAGGTCAGCAATGGCTTTTCAAATGACAAAAACATGAACTGGCAAGAGTACTAGAATAAACACTTTTGACTGATTGTTTTCATTGCAGCAATTTTAGATAAAATAGATTATTATCATACATTTCTTTTGTCTGTTTTATTCCAAGTATTAGAAAGTGTAAATGAGTAAGAGGAGAATTGTGCCTAAAATTTTTGGGGTCATAGTTGCTATGGAAACTATATTTACAATAATCAATGTCTCTCTTTTTATGTCTGTCAATTAAACAAAGGTGAGTAACTGGAGATTGGATGAGAAAATGATACATTTCTCATATAGTGTTTGGCCTCTGAGAAGGGGAGATATTGAACCACCCTTAAAACTGATCTTATTTATAATTGTCATGATGGTAGAAGTTAAAAAGTATGCATATTACAATTTAAATTTTTCACAAGAAGG